AGGTGTAAGAAGAGAGCAAACAATGCTATAGCAGTAGTGATGATGAACATGGAGATAATCCCTGCTAGTAGTTCCTTCTTCTTAGGGCAAAATGGTTATTTAACAATGGTCAGTGAACATGATGACAACCACCTCTGATAACGCTTCCTTCTCTTCTTCCCCTTCTTCTTCTTCTTCTTCTTCTTCTTCTTCTTCTTCTTCTTCTTATATATAAACACACACACACACACACAACAGACTTTAACCTAATCAAAATCTAACGACCAAAATAAAAGTTACATTATATTTTACATCTTACCAGTTTGACCTGCTCAAACTGGACAATTAAACCGCTCAAACTTTTTTTTATTTTAGTTAAAAGAAATTTTCATAATTTTATTCATATTTTTAATAGTAGTGTAAATATAGAATTGTAGATGTGTTCAATTTTTCTATAATTTTTTTTTTGTATTTTTGTGAGTAAAAATAATTCTGATATGTCATACTTACTTTTTTGTTTAGTGTGATAAATGCATGATATTATACATGTGTCTGAATGTTTTTTTTTCAAAATTTATGTATTTTTTATTTTATTATCTTTTATTATTTATTTATGGCATTAGAGGTTAACACATTTAACCCAAATGTTGAGCTATTTATTATTAATTTTTATATTTCATTTTGGCCAGTTCTAAATTATGTATTTCATTTTCATTATCAATAAAAATAATTCTTGTTTATTACACTTATTTTTTATTTGATTAATAAAAAATATCATAAATGTGTCTAACTTTTTCTACATTTTTTTTTTGTAAATTTGTATGTTTATTCCTATTTTAAAAATTTGATTACCTAACTATGACTCTATAGTTTGATCAATTTGGTTCGGATGGTTGAATTGCTTAGCCACCACAATTTAATAGATAATTGTTTTATTTTCGAGTCAGTTTTAAAATATATGGGTTTATATTGTTAAAAATATTGACATGGATCTAATTAGTAGCATTTATAAGTGAAAAATAACTTAAAATATAGGATTTAATAAGAGGAAATGAGATTTAATACCTTAAGTTCAAGACTTGATGAGAGAGGATTAAATGAGGTGGAAGGTAATAATTGAATTACATTTTCAACCCTTACAATTAGAGATTGAGGGTCTGTTTGGTTTGCAGAAATAGGGGTCTCGAATCGGAATCGGAATGGGCTGTTCCCATTCCAACTGTTTGGTTGGACAGAATTGGAATCTCATTCCTATTCCTGCTGGAAGGGCATTCCCCCGTTTGAGGGAATGGCCATTCCCTACCCCTCCCTTGGGAATGAAATCTCATTCATGCTGATTTTAATTCCCATTCCCATTCCTGTTTGAACCAAACAGACTATGGGAATGGACCATTCCGGTTCTGATTCCAGAGGATTTTGATTTCGATTCTGACTATGAACCTTATAGACCCTGATTAAATACACAAATATAGCTGTTATAATAGCCATATTAAAAGTATAATAAAATGACTAATAACTTTTCTCAAACAAATAAATAGAGGGTAAATTTAATCAAAAAAATTTTACATTGCATCCACACTTTTATATATAGTATAAGATTATAGGGGAGGTTTTTATTAGGGTCAAAGTCAAATACACAAGGAATTCAAAGCCTATAGGATTGTCAAAAAAACAAAAGGAGGTTTTTATAATTTTCCTAAAATTAGAAAGGATTCACAAATTAAGGGAGTGTTTAGTAGTTTAACAACATGGTTGGTTTAGTTTTCAAAAATAAAAACAACCACCAGATGTTTTTGTTTTTGTTTTTGAAAACAAAACCAACCATGTTATCGAACACTCCCTAGGGTTGTGTTTGGTTTGAAGGAAAAGGTAGGGAAAATGTAAGGAATACCTTTACAAATCTTGTATAGGTTTTCCTACATTTCCTTTCCTTTCCCTACCTTTTTCTTCAAACCAAACATAGCCTAAAGGTTTGATTAACCTATCACTTCAAGTCTAAAAGCATTGGATTTGTGGTAAAAACAATGAAATAGGGGGGGGGGGTAAGAAACCAGTTATCAAGGCCCATTTGGGAGAATCAATGGCTGAGTTGAAAATAAGCTTTGGTTCAACTAAGTTGGTTTAGTAGCTTTGGTTTAGATGCATAACATATGATATGTGTTGTTGAAAGCTGGTTAGTTGCATAAGAAGTTAGAAAATTGTTTTTTTTTTCCCGATGAACCAATGTTTTAATTGTTCCTTCAAAATGGTTTAGTGAAAGCAACTCAATTAGAGCTAAAAGACCACCCAAATGGGCCCTCAATCCTTGTTGGTGGGTTGGGAGGGCTAGGCAAATGTGACCCAAGAATTAGGGATGGCAATGGGGCAAGGTTCAAAAAATCGTTACGTATAGGCCCGTATTGACTGATTTGTATCATATTGGGAACACCCCGATACGTTCCTACAGAGGGTGTATCAGGGTTTTGACTGGTTCAGGGGGTGGAGGAACCTTAAACCGGCCCCCTCGAACTAGATTTGAAAAAACAAAAAGTATCGATACTACCTATCGGCGTATCAGGTGTATTGATATTTAGAACCTTACAATGGGGCGGGTTCAAGGAAGGTTTGGTAAATTCTAGACCCTACCACCTCCCTAAACATCCCAACCTGTAGTGGTTTGGATTTTGAGAATCCAAACCCTCTCCATACATGAAAATGCAAAATCTTCTCTACATTCAAGGGTATGGAAGATTGAGTTTAGAAATCACATCTAATTTCTTATGACTTCTTGTTATATATAATTTTATAAGCAATAAATAAGTAAAATAACATAAAGGAACAACAAAATTTCCATTTATTTGATTAAGACATATAAAAATTACATAATCTATCAATTATCATACAAATAAAATTCAAAATATTTATAAATTCAACATACATAAAAAATTTAGATTCTTTCCAATAATATGCGGGTTGGGAGGGTTGGATTTAGCCTAATATTGTATCATACATACTCTTTCTCGGATTGTAAAATCGCAAAACCCATTTCTTCCCTAAAACCAATGTTTTTGAACCATCGTTGACTCGGACGGTCAGACCGTTCAAACTGTAAATCATTTAAGCGACCGGTTTTGTTTTACCCTAAACCCGGTATTTGGTAAAAAACCGTTGAATTAGTCAACGAACCGTTGACTCTGATGGTTTGATCATTGAACCATTCGACCCAGAGAACCCTAAACCCGGTATTTGGTAAAAAACCGTTGAATTAGTCAACGAACCATTGACTCTGATGGTTTGATCATTGAACCATTCGACCCAGAGAATGGTTTGTGGCAAGGTTTCTCATATCTGAGATTGATAAATCTCTCAGACTAGTCTCTCTTGTGTGAGACTGTGAGAGAGAGTGAGATCTGAGACTAAGAAATCTTAGATCTACTTTCATCACCAGTTTGCCACCACTGCCACCACTGTTGCTGCTGCAGTTCGCCATCGCCGTCGCCGTCATAGTTGCCGCTGTCATCACCGCTACAACCTACAAGTCTTCCTCCTCCTCCTCTTCTTCTTCTTCTAAACTCTTTCAGCCGACATTTTTCTCAAACCTCTCTCATTCAAACCTTATTTTCTCTTATATAGTATGCATCTTACCCTAATACTCCAATCTAATGGGTAAGATGTTCAAACCGTTTGAACCGTTTTGACCTGAATGGTCGAACCGCTGACCCAGGAACTGGTGGCCAAAACGGTTCCGTTTCTGGGTCAGTTTTTTAAACCTTGCCCAAAACCAGTTAATTTGTCATTTAGGCTCAGTTTGAAAGGAATACAGATACAAATATATACAATATAAATACATACAAAATACAAAATTTTACACTTCACATATTTGTATTTATACTCTGTCCGAGTCCAGCTTCAATTAGGGCAAAGCCCGTTCCAACAACCTTTACAGGCTTACATAGTACTTATTAGGGGTGTTCATGGGTCGGGTTGGGTTAGTTTGAGTCATTTTCTTCAACCGACCCGACCTAGTCGGTTTACTTATTGACTAAACCGAAACCGACTGACTCTGAAGCAAAACTGACTCAAACATGAAGGGCCGGTTTGGGTTGGTTTATCGGTTTAGTCGGTTTATATATATATATATATATTTAAACTAAAATATCTATTTATATTTAAGTTTATTTCTTTTTAGTTTTTATGCAAAATCAAAATATATATTTAAATCGATTAGTTTTTATGCAAAACTGTTTTTTTTTGTCATTATATATTTAAATTTATACAAAACTAAATTAAATATTGTATCATTGTATTATATTTTTATTGGTTTTACTTTTTAGTTTTTATCATAAATAACCATTTTTTTTCAAAGTTCAAACAAAACACAAATAAAATATATCAACATTTAACATATAGGATAGGGATTAATTAAACATATTGGATCGGTTCCGTTCGATTTGGTTTATTTTTGGGTTTCATACATGAAAACTGAAACCAAACCGAATTATTAGTTTATTTTCTCATACAAACCGAAACTGACCGGTGGTTTTAAAAAACCGACCAACTTAGATTGGATCGGGTCGATTTGGTCGGTTTAATCAGTTAAACATTAATGTGAACACCCCTAATACGAATTCAAGTCAGCCCCCACTAGATTGCCCCTCACAGTGTCCCACATTACATCTCCGCCATGTATTGAGAGCATCTCCCGATAATGACATCATCATTTCTAACATTATCATCGGGAGATATTCCCAATACACGGCAGAGATGTGCTGTGGGGGGCAATCTTGTGGGGGGGCTGATATGGTCTCCCCTAATACTTGAAGTGAGGACTGAGGACCTATCTAACAGAGTAACAGTGGGTAAAGCAGGTCTGGGGGCGTACCCATCCACGCTCTTCGTGCCCTATTCACGAAAATAGGGTCCCACGAAGTTATGTCTGATTAACCAATGAAAGAATTTTTGGTGCCACGTTTCGCTTCTTGATTGGTCATATGATCCATATGACTAAGATACCCTTCTAATTAGGAAACAGCTGACCGAACTAGATAAATAAAAATGCTCGAATTTTGAAAAAAACGGAAGCAGAGTTTCAATTTTCAAACGAAAACCTTCGAATGAAAACCTTCTCTTCGTAGCTGTGGAGCTCCCGATGTTAGAATCTTGATCTTCCTTTTGAAGCTCCAAAGCGGAGCTCAGAATTCATAAAGGTCCAACGGTTCGTTCTCTCTAGTATTTTCTAACAACTTCTTTTTTTGTTTCAGAGAAGTTTGCCCTAGAAAAAGCTCTTCTTCTTTCACGCCCACCACACATGAAAGACTCGAATTGTTCAAGCTAGAAACGAAAGATGATCGTTCGAACTTACGCTCGTCGGAATCGTTGCGTTAGCCGAAACTTCTCCGACTCGAGCTTCAATGGCGGCGTCGATGATAGCTACGAGGAGTCTCTGCCCGAAGAAAGTTCACAAGAAATCTATAGCGTTGCCTTCTCGTCCCAAGATTCGTCTCCTTGGTCCTTTGATACGGACTTGTATGGTTTAAATTCATCTCAAGGTTCGTTGTCCGCTCTTCCACCTCGAGCACCGGGGCCTGATTTTGGGTCACACGGGGACGGCGTAGCTCGCAAGCTCAAGAAGCCTAGAGTTATATCTCGCGAATCAGGAGAAATTAAGAATCATAAATCTTTGATTTCTAAGGGGGTTCGGTCACTTCCTGCTCCGGCTACGTCGACCTTGATGGAAGCTCAGGAATTTGGGGAGATGATGGAGCACGTGGACGAGGTGAATTTTGCTTTGGATGGGCTCCGGAGGGGCCAGCCATCTCGGATCCGACGGGCGAGCCTGCTGTCTCTGTTATCAATCTGCGCCACTGCACAACAACGTCGGCTTCTAAGAACTCAGGGGTAAGTCAAATTTTGCATTTCCTTTATTCTGTTTTTGTTTCTAAGAACAGAAGTAAAATGGAACTCCTATCTTGATATTAAATGTGCTTCATTGTGAATTCGACATGAATATGTCTTTTGCTTGTCATTTTTTTTTTTAATTTTTCTTAGCATCAGAAAAGGTGACATCATAAGTCAGTAATGTGGTAAGTTAAAACTACCCGAACGTGTTCTTAGTCTGCTTTCAAAACTTCTTTGGCATTCTGGTTCTTCTTGACATCATTAGCTCATTGCCATGGTCAAATATCAAATGAATGGAGATTGCATGTTCCTGAGAAAATTGAATTTCCTGACAATTTTATAGCTTGGATTATGTGCACAAGCAATTGAATTAGAACCCCATAACACCTGGGTTGTGCTTTCTATGATCTTTTTATTTTGATTACTTTAGTTAGGACAGTTAAGATGCATGTTGTTACATGCAAAGGTCATAGATTGGAACTCATGGCACTCATACCTGGCAGTGTAGATATGCATCGAATAAATGGATAATACAATTATTGTTTAATTTGGGTTTCTTATGATCTTGTATCTTCAATTGCCATTTCTTAGGAAAAGGATTAAAAGAAGCATGTTGTCATGTTGAAAAGTTAGAGAATTATATATGTGTAACTGCCATACCTAATAATGTATGGGCTTGGGTTCTTTTCAGCTTCTATTCCTATGGTTGGAGAAAAGGGTTGGGGAGGGACAACTGGATGAGCCTCACTAAGGAGACTTAAAAACAGAAAGAAACTGACTTGATTGGATAGTTCCAACCAGTTAAAATTGGTACCCTTTCTGAGGACCTTTCTCCATTTTCCCTTTGTTTGGCTAGTGTCCGTGCGAGGTTTAGAACCCAGGGTTACGAGTATCTGATTCATTCAAAATGTTGCATAGGATATCTTGGTGGTGGTTGGGGGGGGGGTCCACAGCAAGGCCAATCCAATGAACCTATGTATGCATCGTGTGAATAATTAACCATATGGTTGACTGTTATTATGATTGCCTGCATGGTTGCCTTGCATTTTCTTTTTATTCTGCAGTCTTCTATGGATGCTTACCTTTACAGGTTGGAAATGCTATGCATGTCTTCTATTTTAACTTTTAAACACTGGATTTTCAGGATGGCCAAGACAATAGTTGATTCTATTATGGGTCTCAGCTTTGATGATTCTCCAAGCACTCTGGCTGCTGCAGCACTATTTTACATTTTGGCAAGTGATGTAAGTTGTTGATAACCTGCATAAGAGCAACATGTTGGAATAGTTTTAGCTCCACTTCAATGCCAACAAGCTCGATTTCCAACTACACTTTTTAATATGCAACTTATTTTTGCTGCTATTGGAATTTTATATTTGCTTTGAGAAGTGGTACAGTTTCATCTGCTGTTTTGATGTCTGATTTTGTTGTTGCTGTTGTTGAGAAGATGAATGGAGAATTTCCCAACAAATGAATGCTAACTTTGAGAAATGAGAACCTAGTTTGTTTTGATCATGCAAAATTAATCTGTTCATTGTTTTGATGTTCTTATGCTGTATCACTCATCAAAACCTCTCTCTCTCTCTCTCTCCCCCTCTCCCCCTTCCCTCCCCCTCCCCCCTACTGCATGTATTTTGGCAGTTAATTGATTAATGTGATATATGCTACAAGATCTCAATTCCTATAAGGGTTTATTAGTCCCTTTTTTTTATGATTGTGGTCCTTCTAACTCATGCTTTTGATGTGCTAAACTTAATTGGTTGCTGAAGGGAGAAAGAACTTGATGGAAAAACATGGGAAGGAGCTTGATAGCAAAAGACCTATCATTATGATCTTCACTGTTCAATAATGCCATATACTTTCTAACTCCACCTTTTTCTTAACATTTTTGAGCTAGTGTAATGCAATTCGTCAAATGTCTGTGATCAAGTAGCACTCTCACTGAGAGGGTATGGTCTGTGGCTGCATGGCTTTAACTTTTTTATTCTAATGGATTAATTGGTGCAATATCTTTGGCTGATAAGAATGAGAGTGTCAGTTCAAGTCTGATAGCATCTGCTTTTTTGCAATAAAATGCCAAGGGTTAGGTCTATATCTAGTCCACTCTTCCTAAGATCCAAGATAGCCAGGGCTAACATTCTTTTTGATGACCAAAATTTTATTAGAAATTAAAAAGAATGCAGTGTAGTATATACAAAGCTTTTAGCCCTTCAACATTAGGCTAGTTCCTGATGCTGCCTTAGTCTATCCTCTTTTACTGACTGCTTCGTTTCAACTAATTGCCCCTTAGCTGTCCCCAAAAGAGATGATCTATGGGTCTGATTACAGTTGCTAATTCTTCCCCTTCCTAACTCTGTATTTACCTCATAGCAGTTCAATAACCAGGGCCAACATTGGGTAATTAATGGATTACTTATAGGCAGTTCTAGAGTTCAATACTGGAAAATTGCAACTCTTTGCTTTCAATCCTGTCTTATTCCAACTGGATGATTTGCTGCTTCGAATTATGCTTCTCCTGCTATGCTAATCGTTACGTGGATCAAGATGGTTACCATTTCCTGTGTAAATCTTTTTGTTGGCTTCACTACATTTATAACTCACAGATTTGTTATAAAAGATATGGGTTTATTATGTATGCCTGTTCACTAGATTAACTGGAATTTTTTGGATGTATCCTTTTTTTCAAATAAATTTCTTCAAGCATTTGTGGATTTTACTTTTTCAGGGCCAAGATGATCACCTTCTGGATTCACCTACTTCCATTAGCTTTCTACTTAAATTATTGAAACCACCCCTTGCTAATACTGTGGAGAACAAAGCACCGACCATTGGTTGTAAGCTTCTAGCACTACGCAAGGATCCAGTCATACTGAGAGATACAACCAAAAAATTAGATTCTAGCTCCAGTGCTGTCATTTCAAAAGTAGAGGAAATTCTCTTGAGCTGCAAGGAGATAAATTCGTGCAATGGGGACAATGAAGGAATGGGGAGGCCAGAGTTAAGCCCAAAATGGATAGCTTTGTTGACAATGGAGAAGGCATGCTTATCTACCGTTTCACTTGAAGGTACTAGGAGAACTTTATCTACTATTCTGAGTTTTCACTTTTTAGGAGCTCATAGTGTTTCAAACATAGTCCTGTGTTCCCGTTAAAGGAAAATTTATCCCTTTATTGATTTCTCTTGGGTTTTCATGCTACTGTTTATTCTTTCAGATACATCTGGTACTATAAGAAGGGTTGGAGGAAATTTCAAGGAAAGATTACGAGAACTTGGAGGACTAGATGCTGTCTTTGATGTCACTGTGAATTGCCATTCCACCATGGAGGTGTGAGCCCTGTATGTTTATTTGGTCCACCAAAAATAATTATGTATAATTAGTTCATAATCGAAAACAAATTAAATGAATAATGCAGCCTCAGTTAGTCACCAAAAGATTGATTTACTGGAGTCATAATATTGCAAATTGCATTTTCAATTACAAATTTGTCTTTCAATGCTGCAATCCGTATGACAGTAGCATCTTGGTGAATTGCTTTCCATAATTGTAAGCCATCCATGTTTTAACAAATTATGCTACCATGTTTTGCATTAAAATTCTTATTTGTTAAGGATGTTTATTGCATGAGAACATCATATTGCTATTTTTTTCTGCTTAACAGAAATGTACTGATAAATCCTGTGATTATGATGATGCTACTATGTTTTGTRTTTGAGTTCTCCTCTGCTAGGAAGCTTATGGCATGAGAACAGCATAAATGCTATTGATTCTCTGCTTAATAGAAATTTACCGGTAGATCTTTTGATTCTGGTTATGTATCTTGGAGGTTTTACTTGGATGATTTTATTGGTACTTGGTAGGTTTAATAAATGTTCTACTAATGTGTTCAGAAGCAGTTCTTTACGTCCCTAACCCAGTTTTTTTGTCAGAAACTGGACTGGGCTGTGAATTGGACTCTTTTTTTGAAAGATAATGAATTAAAAAAAAACAAAAACAGAATAGAACTTCTCCCAACACAGCAAGTTGCTTTCCACAGTATACATCAACTATAATGTCTGTTAGTTACAATAATTGTACCTGAATAAAAAAAAGAACTATAAGGGATACCCACAGACAATTAATTATAATGGCTATGAGTCAGACTCTTATTCCCTGAGCCGAAGCAGGAATCCTGGACCCCCCCCCCCCTCCAAATAAGAAAAATAAAAAAACAGATGCTAAAAGCCAAACATCAGGCTGCTTGGTGAAAGTATTAGCAATGGGATGACTTAATAGAGTAATTTGCCCCTAGTGGAGCAGGTTTCTACATGATTAGAAGTCAAATTTGGTAATTTGAAGTTTGACCTGTGCTCTATTCTGGTTCAAGCAACCCTGAGGACCTGAATTCCCCATATGCCAAGTCTTTGTTATCGTGCATAAAATCTAATTGTTAGGGTTTCCTCACTTACTAATCATTTTTCTTAACTTCCAAGTTCCAAGCCTTATCTCTGTATGATTGTATCACATTTTTTCTTCTCACCATGCTCTCTCTCCCACTTTTTTTTGGAGAAATAAAGGCAGAGCTGTTGTTATTGAGAAGATGGTGGCAACCTTTGCTGGGAGCGGAGTGTACATCTCCATCGGTTGATTTGTCACAACCACCCAAGTTCAGATCTGAGAAAAATATAAAGGTTTCTATCATTTAGGGTTAAAACTCAAAGGAATGCCGACTTTAACCAAAATAAGACAAGTTAAAAATCAGTTTGTTTAATTGTCAACTAGAACGTATATTAGTGGTTGTCATACTTTAATCTTTTTTTTCTCCACATCCAATTTGTCTCTCCTGTCTGTCTGTTTTTCTTCTTGCCTAGATACTTGCTCTGCTCCACTTCTCTCATGGGGTGGTCTGGGTTTAGTTGGAATTATATAAGGCCGGGTCAGGGATGAACCCAAGCTGCACTGAACCTGAGCCGTTTCCATCCTTAGTTAAACCAGAATTAAAATCAGTTCTCTTGAATGCCTAGACGTATTTCTGCTCTCAAATACAACATTAATTTCAACCACTTAAGTTGTGGAACTGGTTAATTTTGTTACTTCCAAGTTTCCCATTTTATCCCCTATCCTTCTATTGGTTTTCATTGCTGATTTTGCTGTAGTTGTTGAGCTTATTATTGGGCTTATACTTTTCTGGTCCTGTTTTTAAAGTTTGTGTTGTATTCATGGTTGTTCATTATCTTGTGTATTCCTGTTTATATGCACATGTATGCGTGCATGTTAAAACTGTGATCAGAGAACGTGCGTGTGGTAAGAACTCAAACAGATCTAGTTTACTGAGACAGCTTCTAAGTTATGGTTGTTCTATAGGTCCTCTAACATTATAAGTTGGTGCAATGGTTATTACCATCAAACATAATGGGAACTCTTTTGTTCAGACTCATGTATGTTTTAACTTTGTTCCTCAAGTATCTGTATCGAACATTGCTTAAAAGCTTTATTTGCTTTATATCTTTTGCAAATGTTTCTTTACAAGAATTCTTCTTCTTTTTACAGAGATTGTTAAAATCTAGCTCGCCCTCCATTCGGGAATTAAAAGATGATGCAGCTTTGGAAAGTGTGGTTTTGCTCCTAAAATGTTTGAAAATCATGGAGAACGCTACGTTCCTAAGCAAGGATAACCAGGTACAAGTGAAATCACTGTCTTGGTGAGACTTTAAAATGCTGGCGATGCCCATCACTTTTGTAACCTTTGTATTGCCTTAATAATAGGATCATTTGCTTGGGATGAGAGAAAAGTTGGTTTGTGAGGGATCCTCTCTGTCATTTGCAGGACTCATTATAAGTGTCATAAAAATTCTTTCAGGTAATTAAAATATAAACAGTTCATTATTTTAGCTTGAACGTTTAAGAATTTTTCGTTGTTATATTTAGAGTCAGTAAAATTATACTCCCGCATTTTGTTTGACAATGTTTCCATTGCTTTCTAGGTCTCTCTTTGTTACAGAGTTCTTCCTCCAATTCCAATGATGCGAAGTCTCAGCATGTTTCTGATGGGACAAGTGGAGCTTCAGAAATTCCATTAAGAGAAGTCTATGGAGGTATCTAGTCATTTGTTTCATTGTAAATATCATGCTAATGTTATTTTCTGTTTAGTTGTATATGATAACATCCAAATTGTAGGTTTTTATCATGCATAACTAAAACATTCTAATCAAAAGATTTACTTATGGGGTTCTGTCAAAGTGATTCATCTTACACAATAATCTATTCTTTTTCCTGCCTTAGGTTCTGGTTTCAATTAGAACTCATTGTTCACTAGTATGTGCACTAAGTCAGCATGTCTCCTTAATAACAATATGGGTTGTTTGACTAGGGTAATCAGGTGAGATAACTTGCTGCCAAGCAAATATAGTTATTGATTCTGTAAAACTGCAAAATGTTGAAGAGAGGTCTCTACCCTTGGGTTTGATCAAGATTCTTGTTTTAGCATATGACAATATAAGAAATAGGATCTTCCCAAGAATACTCACTTATATTTCACTTGAAATTTATTGGTTTAATACTTCATCTTTTGCCCCTTTTCCTTATTTCAAAACAATTCCATTTGAAGGAGTGCCTTTGGCTGGACAGTAGTTTCTAATAAGATAATAAAATTGTTACATCCTTAAACAACAAGATCTGATATGTTGATACAACAGAGATCCAACGAGGAAAGGATGTACTGCACTAGCTCTAATTTGATAAAATGTTGATGGTGGTTGGCATAGAAATGGACAAGAATAAAGAAAAAGAAAGGAAAGAGAATGAAAATCAGACTCACAGCCATAGGAATAAAAACCTCTCTTCTCAAAGCAAACAAGTTGGAGAGCATGCTGGAATTCTTAAGTTCATTAAACATGAGAGATGAGAGTAAATATAGAAACATTTTTTTTTTTAAATGCCTCGAGAAAGGAATTTGCATGAGACATACATCATCTATCCTCATTAGTTGGGCTTGATGGAGGGGCTTTTCATAGATCATCCTAGCATAATTTTCAGGGTGCCAAGGTGAGACTAGGCGACAGGGGGCGCCTTGTCACCTAGGTGATGGATTTTTTTAAGTAAAAAACATATATCCTAGGGTAGTTCCCTAGGTTTCATAGCAATATTTCCTTAATAATTATCTATAATTTTTGTAACAAAAATATGAACTTCATAATAAAGTATAGAAAATCAACATATTCATGAGAAGAAAAAGAAGAAAGAAACGCAAATTCAAAAAATGTAGGTTTGAACTCCTATTTTTGTTATAGGAAATGAAGAGAAGAAGATGTGGAAGAAGAAAATGTTTTGATTAGGCAATTTCAAGCTCTTCCTTGTTGGTTCAGGTTTTGAAGTCTTTGAGGGTTCAATACAGCATTTAGCAGTGCTTGTATTGATTAAACTCTAACAAAGAAGAAAATAATAAAAAGAAATTAGTATATAAACAAACAACATGAATATTTTAGTTTAATAATATCTATTTTGTAACTATAATCTCAAAACATTAAGAATATAAAAGTATTTTATAGCAAATTGTACAAAAATGTTTGGCGATTAGGTGAGGTGAGCCTTCAAGGGCACCTTGCTGCCTATTTGTTGTCTTGACAACTATGCATTCTAGTTGGGGCCTCTTACCTGTGTAAAGCTTTGGGCCTGTGAATTTGATTGCATTGTTACTGCTCAGCAAAACCTTGTGACAAACTTAGAATGGGTAAAACCCTAGCATTTCAAACTCTCAGATTACAATAGGACCTCAGACATTACGACACCATTAATTTGTGATGTGTGATTTTAAGGCTGTTGTGAGTGTTTTTGGTGAGTTTCCGCTCACCTTGGAAACCTCTTCGAGGGAGGCTTGACCTCCTGAAACAGAAGATGGAGAGAAAAGAGAGAAGGGAGGGAAGGAAGAAACTGGAATCAGGGAGAGGAAAATTAAGGGAGAATCATTCATTGCTTTCATTATGTGATGATGGCCTTATATAGCTGGCCTACAGGTGTAATATCATAGGGAATATTCTCTGATTTCTGAATAACTAACTCTGGCAGATAACATGGGTGGAAAATCTTCAGGTGGCAGAGTAACCAACTCTGAGTGTAACTAATTCTGGGGCTCCGCCGCCTGGCTCCTCTGTCTTTTTGTGAATGGCTGATAGCTGGGCAGCCTGCTCCACTCCCCTAGTGGGTTCTGGAGGGGGTGTTTGGGTCTCAACAGTTTTACTCTGAATGAGAAAACATCACTTTTGGGATTCCTGACCTCTTGGCATTAGTTTGTGAAACCCCACTGTCATAATCAATTAAGTATGCTCAATTGTGGCAGGTCAGAACTACAGCTCAAGAGTCAAGATGCTTCAAATCCATTGACTTTTATAAATTATCCAGTTTAAGACAGAAGCCAGTGTGCTGGATAAAACTTTCTAGATCTTATAATAGTGTTGAAAATTTTGTTCTTTAACTTGTGAGTTTTCTTGATTTCTAGCCAAATTTGTGTGATGCTGAAGGATGTGCTCTTCTTCTATAGGTAAGTGAACTCAAATTTGGAAAAGAAAGATGAGCTATAATTAAAATTAAAAACCAATCTTTTATATCTGGAATTCTGGGTTAATAATTTAAGACCCTAGAATGGGCATGTTTGGACTTGCCTCAAGGGGCTTGGTACGAATTAGCTTGTAGAATTAGGGTAAAAATAAAGAAATTGAAAGTTTCTTGTGGTTGAATATGTTTTATATGTTATTGTTTAATTTTATTTTTACATTTTCACTTTGAATTCATTTTATATGTTATGTTTATGTATTTTAGTTTGAGCTAATGTGCATTTTAAAGCGTTTAGTTTTAAATTTAAGTATTCATTTTTATTAATACTATCTTTAATATTTTTGATACTTTTTTGCATTTTTATTTTTTTAATTTTTAAAAATTTTGCTTCTTGCTTCTAAAAGGCATGTGTCTTGCTTTGTTGCTTTTAAAACACTCTTTTCATTCAACCAAAAATGTTGGAATTTGCTCATTATAGGTATGCTTACTTGTTCACTTTAGGAAAAATTAATATAGTCTGATTCCCCATGGAGATCTTGGCAAACAGTGAAATCAATTGGTTTTCTTTCTTGCTATTTCACTTTCAGCATGGAGGCCATCATCAGAACACTCAAGATGCAGAATACTGTTATTAAGGCCTTTGGAGGATGCCAACTTGCTTGCTTTACAAGGCAACAGGATAATGCCATTTTGATTCCTCTTTTAATGTTCAGGGGAAATGCTTATTTGTTCAAGTTTTCCCAGTTCCTTCTGTTTATGTACATTTCTATTGTATTGAGCGAGCCTCTTCCTCTCTTCCAGGTTAAATGAAAACTCAGGTTTACCATTTACAGAAAAGTTTAGGGTAACTAATTTTTACAAACAAAAGATTTATGGTTTATTTTCTTAAATAATTTCTTTCTTTCCTTTTTGCCCTTTTCAAATCCAATAAGGGATGATTATAATGGATTCTTAATGATGGTTGCAACTCATTAATTGCTAATATGGATTCTGAAAGTTGGTAAAATGTTCTAAATTTTGATGCTAAAGTTAAGAAAAAGGCTTTGTTTATGGTGACATAGATTTCCCCCTCAAATTGCAGTTGACCGAAATAGCACTTCATCCTGCAATTCTTCTAAAGAATGTTGTAGCATGGACAATTCATCTTCTCTTAAGAGCTTCAGATTACCTCAAAAACATCAATTGCTACCTCCTTCACAGTCAGAGTTATCTATATCTAATTCTGAAACCACCACTGCATCTCCGGCTGATGTTTGTTCAATAAAGAAGTTTGACAGTTCTTCAGCATCAGGTTCATATGATAAGATATCAAGGGCTTTAAATGGTGGATTTTCTGTAAATTCCAACAGATCAAAGATGAATATTGGCCTAAGTAAGAGAGCTACTAATACGACTGAAGATATGAACTATGGAAGTAACAAAGACTGCCAAGATCCATTTGCATTTGATGAAGACGAACTGAAACCCTCAAAGTGGGAGTTATTATCAATGAGAAAAAAGGCTTCTCGAGTTCCAAAAAGCAAGATGGCGGTTAGAGAAATTGAGGATGGGTGTGAACCCCTAATAGTGTCGAGTCAACATGGATCAAATAATGGAGAAAATCATCATGATTGTGACATCTCTTTTTCATCTTCAGTTAGAGAAAAAAATTCTAACCTTCTGGAGGATTGCCTTCTTAGTGCTGTTAAGGTATATCTCTTTTTAGTTTTTACAATTATCTCATCATAATGGGTTTACATTATTTACGTTTATATTTGTAGCTACTATAATCTATGTACTTATCTGGACTAGACTGGATTTCTTGAATACTGGTATGCTGAAATGGAGCTTAAGGTTTCTTGTCAGCCTAATCTCGAGAATTTTAATGCTCATGGCCTGATAGTGATTCAGGCATTCTCATGCGGTGAATGGTGATACAATATTAATATTTCCATTTCTAATGTGAAGTTCACTAATATCATATCGGGTCTTTCTCCTTGATGCTGGGGGATGGTTTCTTCATCAGTGTTTATTAAATTTAATTTTGGTTTGTTTTGCGTATAATGTTCAGGCATGAAACTAACATCAGAAGCATTCTTATTTGCTTTTGTTTCTTGGCAGGTTCTGATGAACTTAACAAATGACAATTCTGTAGGCTGTAAACAAATTGCTGCTTCTGGAGGATTGGAAACTATGTCTTCTTTGATAGTCTGCCATTTCCCAGCATTCAGCTCTTGCTCATCTGAGTTCTGCCGACTTGAAGAGAATATTCTACCACCTAGATTGAATACTGAGCTCAATCATCAGAATGAGAGACATCTCACAGATCATGAGTTAGATTTTCTTGTTGCTATTTTGGGATTGCTGGTAAACTTGGTTGAGAAGGATAGCCAAAACAGGTTAGTGCCTTGGGGTCTCAATTACCAATCAATATGGGACTGTTGTATTTTTCTCTGATGCCCACAAACCACAAAATATATGATACATAACATTTTTATATGGTGCCCCTTGATGAAAGCACCAACCCCACATTATCAACCCTTGTCTTTCTTGCCACAGATTTCAAGTAAAAGCACTAATACACCCAATTCTTAAAAACTTTAGCAAGGCTATTAATGCTGGTCCCTTCATGGACCGATTATGGACCTAGCCTTTAGCATTTCTTTTTGCACAGAATGTCTGCTCTCAGATCTGAGCCCACATTCCTACACTTTTCAGCCCGGGATTTTACCATTACACCAACCAATGGTTCCTCTCTTCAAAACCTTAAAATAACATATAAATCTTTAGTGTAACTACTAAATTTTAAGTTACTACCTTTTAATGCCAAAACTCAATCACGTTTTATGCCTTACACATACATGCATGCAAGCAAGCACACACACACACACATGGAGTTTCTCAAAATTGATGTTCTATTTATATGATCAAGCTCCAGTCTCCCATTTTGCTTTATGGTCTGGTGATTTAGGTTATATATATCAATTTCTTGCCAGATTTAACACTTTGGCATATTATAAATCCTACATAGGCTTTTTCCCAAACCTCCTGGCATAATGTGCAACATAAGGAATTTGATACAAGTAGAGAGGATTTTTTTTTTAATTTGCACGTGTGGAGATGTTTCTGATATATATATCCAAGAATAGGGAAAAATAAATAGAAGAAAGCAAAGAGGGTTAAATGCATGAATATAGCACATAATATCAATCTTTTTTGCAATTGGTGGTGGGAGATGATGATTGTCTATTGTGGAGTGTACTGACAGGTGTGGGAAAACCGATCGATTCTCACTATATGGATGCTCCATGTAATGCATATCCCTGCATAGATGGATAAATCCTTTGCAATTTTGTATTTTGTTAATCAGTGTTACGACATTTTTAATCTCATATTTATGTTGACACATAGATTATAAGGTTTTTATTGTGTGACTTAAAGTGAGTTCTGTTGCAGATCACAGCTTGCAGCAGCTAGTGTTTCATTACCTAGCTCTAGAGGATCAGAAGGGAAGGCAAATAGTAGGGGTGTAATTCCACTACTGTGCTCTATCTTTTTGGCCAACCAAGGAGCTGGTGAGGCTGCTGGAGAAGGAATACTATTTCCAGGGGTAAGCAAATTGGTTCTGCCAGCATTCTAGCCCCAACTTGTCTTTCTTTTTGTGTGTTTGTATTGGGGGGGGGGGTCAGTGGAGAGGTGTTTGGTGGTCGATGGATGAGTTGCTGTGTCCTGTGTCCCAGACTTCCAATTTCCTGATCCATGTCTGGGTAAGAAAATACTACTTGAAGCAAATGCAAAGATCAAGAACAATTTTTTCCTCTTTTCTCTCACTAAGATAGGGGTAAAGATGAAAATATAAAGGAATTGTGAGCAAACCACCTTGCATTCAAGTGGTAGCTCTGGTATATGGTGAGACCTGGATCAGACTCGGCAGTCAGCTGACACTTAATAATAGACATTTCTTGTTCTGATAACCCAATTTCAAAAGTTTAAACCTGGTGAAAATGGCTTGAACCTGGTAAACTGTCTGATTGAACTATTGAAGTGATAAATCCAGGCAAATTTCTTCAAAGTTCAAACTTCACTTTTTTCCACCTTATTTCATAATCCATCTTGCTAAAGTGTTTTTGTTTTTTAAAAAAATCTTCACTGGTTTAATTAACCCATTAAGGCTTTCAAGAAATAAAAGTAAGCCTTTTTGACACTGGAGAGAAGGGGCCGACAGCTAGTATTCTGAGGAGAGTGAATGCTCCAAAGCTTTGGCTGTTGATGACCAGATCTACTCAAATAAACTCTCAAGTAACACAATATGCTGTTCAATTGCGGTGAAATATATACACATTCAGACACACATGAAGCTCATTATGTGGTGTTCTCCTCTTCAGAACCTCGTGCACCTGACTTAGTTTGTTGCTATGTTTCGATTAACTAGCCTTGAATTTGATGTTGTATACATAGTACCTTAATAGTGGGTTGTACCTATGATGCTTAGAGTTTAAAAAGTTTAGCTTATACAAGACTTGAACGGCGATGCAACCTTTATGTTCAACCAATTGAACTAATATGCCTTTTGAAATATCTTATTTCTTTTAGAATTTATATTTGCATATTCTTGTATATTAAGGTTTTATTTGTTTTTTCCCAAAAATGGTTCTCACTTTGGATCTTCAACAATGGTTTGTAAACGACATTGAAATTAGACTTAAAAGGAAAAGACAGGGTTTTATAAGAAGCCGAGATGTTGGGTTTTGGTCTTTGGAGAGAGCATCTTCCTACTTGTCTCTCCTCTCTTTATTTTCCACCCTTCTCTTTTATTCTTCTTTTAGCTCTTTTTTTTTTGGTTACTGGCTCCTAACATTTGCACAGCCTTCAGTCAATTCAACTTGGCTACTAGTATAAATAGGGAAAATCTGTAAAGGAAATGATCGAATACCAGTACTTATTTTGTATTTGAATTTGGATTATCACAGAGCGATGAGGCTGCTATGCTGCAAGGAGAGCGTGAAGCTGAGAAGATGATCTTAGAGGCCTATGCTGCTCTGCTTCTTGCATTTCTTTCAACTGAAAGGTATCTGTCTTTTCTTTTGCTTTATTATAGAATAAAGAATTTTAAGGATTTTCCTAATGGAAAATTGTCTGCTCCTGGCAGTAAGAATGTGCGTAACACCATTGCTGGCTGTCTCCCGGATAACAACTTGAAAGTTCTCGTTCCTGTGTTGGAGAGATTTGTGGTAGGTATCCCTTGGCCTTTCTAAGTGGCATCGAGTATGGGAATTGAGAAGTAGTATCTTGTTTTCATGCTTTCCTACAGTGCATTTTCAGAATATGTCAGTGCTCTCATTAAGCGAGTCATGAACACCCTACTGTATGCAATTGTTTCTTTTGTAATTTTAATTTTTGAGTCAATGAATGATAAACCTGTAGGATTGTAGGGTGTTTACCCAATGAGGGTGTGCTTATTGGATCACCACATTTTTCATGGATGATTTAATAGCAATTACTTTCATTGAATCGGTGAACCAAACCTGTAGGTCCGGCTATAAATGGAAACCAGATTGAGTTGATCATGTTAACCATCTGATACATCAGATTTTTGTGGATGCTTATGTTAAAGATGTCAACCTTAGAAATGGTTGGAATTAAGGCTGAGTTGAGTTATGGAAAATTGTCAACCATCCAATGTGATGTGATTGACAAAAGCAATTGGTTTTGTTCAATTCAACTCCAAGAAATGTACCAAACGATGGGTTCAGTTCAAATGAGAATGAAGAGGGCTTACTGGTTGGATGCTAGTGAAATATGTTTCCTTTTTGATGTAACAGATGTAATAATCTTTAATTTGCATTTTTTCCTCTTTTTCAGGCATTCCATCTGACACTAAACATGATTTCACCGGAAACGCACACAGCTGTAAGTGAAGTTATTGAATCATGTAGGTGCCCTTGAGAGCAGGGATTCTGTACAGGCTTTTCATCTCCTGCTCAGACCTGATTAACTGATTGCTCTCCTACCACGCCGAGAGTTGATTGGGGGTGAATGGAAGCAGCACAATATATTGAATTTGACCACAGGTCTATGTTGTAACTTGATTCATTGTTCTTTTTCCTTTTTTTTGTCCTTTTTGTTTTCTTTACATTATTTTCAGTTCTGTTTGACCATCTCCGCACAGAATGTTTCTCTTCCCGCTGGACGGATGCTTGTATACTAAATATTATACGAATCCCAATTATTCACCTTAGTGCATCGCTTCTTTAGCCACTTCTCCTCTCTCTTTTTTATTCTTAAATTCAATATCATATCAATTGGCTGATAATTGCCAACATGCCTAATCCAAGAAAGCAAGGATTTAAATATTGATATGCTGTGGGTATCGCCGTATCGGTATGTATCAATATGACTGATATTCTTTGATTTTTATTTTTTTAATTCTACAAAGTATTAGATTATTTAAAGTATTAAATTTTTTGAAAAGCTTTTTTATCGGTGTATCCAAGTGCATTTCAAGGTTTTTGAACCGCCATTGACCCAGATGGTTAGACCATTTGGCCTAGGAACAGTCCGGGCAACCGGTTCTGTTTTACCCCAAACCCAGTTTTTAGCAAAAAACTGTTGAAAAAGTCAACAATCCGTTGACTTGGGCGGTCGAACCGTTGATTCGTCAATTCATTCAATGGTTTTTGATTGTTTTTTTTTTTAATTATTTTTTATACTTTTTAATTTGTTTGTCAGAATGGGCCATCCATTCGAACCGGACAGTCGCACTGTTGACCCGGAAACCAGTGGCCGGAATCAGACTGTATTTGGATGCATTGGTATGGAAATGATAGGCCTGATATGATAAATTAGATATTATTATTTTAATCCTTGTCTACGAGCAGCTAGGAGTGGTTTAAATGGTTCAACTATAATGTTGGTTTCAGTAGAGGCAGATGATGTGAGAAAAACGGAGGATCTCCCTTCTGGTAGAGGAAGATCTTAGTATCTTACCCTATTCATCTTTAATTTTTGTTTTGACACCATATTCATCTTTAATTTTAAATTTTAGTTTTGTTAATGAGCAACATGACGCTGACGACCCAGGAACTCGTGAGCTGATTGAGGGAAAAAACTGGTCCAGGCCGGGCTGAATGGGTTCCAAACGAAGAAGAAACATAAAGCTTAGCATGATCATCTTATGCCCTTTAGGGCCTTTACCATCCATTGACGTGAGCTGATTATGTAAGCCTTATCCAGGACGGATGCATCAAGGCAGATCGGCTTGTGATGTACTTTCAAGTTTCAAGGAGGATCAAATCGGCCGGTGCTTCCAATTTACTTGGGGAAACGTGAGTTATGAGTTCACAATGTCATAACATTCTCTTGTAATGTTAGAAGAAGCAATCCTAGAATCAAGATTAGCCAATCCATTTGTGTACAACTTTGAATTCAAGCAATTTTATAACAGTGAGAAGAATCGGTTATTTAGGCTCCGTTTGGGAAGAGTGCAAATGTAAATGCCCTGTATAAAATCTTTAATACCGTATTTTTAAGTCTTATATTTGTATTGTACATATTTATATTTGTAATCTTCTCGGTAGAATGTAAAATCTTGTATTTTATATGAATTTGTACTTATTTATATTTATACTATTTTGAAACTGAGCTTCAGTCATAATAATGAGCTAAGCTTTGTTTAAGTCCCTCTGGTTCAGATTATATGTTACATACTTTTTAATTAATTAAAACTTTCGATGGTAGGAATGGTATTTTATAACTTGCTCAACTTCTTGAGAGCTGATACTAATTCCTGATGTACCTTGGGTCTTTGTGGGAACTGGAAAGTGGTGGGGTTTACATAGTTTTGGGCCTGATGGACCTTGTCATGTTCACTTTAATTGGGTCTTGTATGTGGACTTTACTGTGCACATGGGATGGGCCGTGGCCTGTGGGCCTTGGTATTTAGAGAAACGGCAATTGTTTGGTTAGGTTAAATAAGATAATGTTACACAAAAAAAAGATATTAGTTATTAAAAGGGAAAATTCCCAATTAGTGTCCTGTACTTTAGCTCGAGTGATAATTTGGTCCCTAAATTTTAAAATGCGATAATTTAGTATTTGAACTTTCAAAATCAAATACCTGTAGTTAATGGATCGTCAGTTATGTATATCACGTGATCTCATGTGTGATTTAAGACTTTTGAAAATATCAAAATAACTCTTAGAAATTAAACACACTGTTCATCATCTTCTTCCTCAAGGAGATGAAATAGAGCCCAAACTCTTTATCACAAACACCAGAAACGCGATCTTTTCTGACAGCCCACTCTTTGGATGGTTGGAATTGTTCCAGATCATTCTTTTTTTTTTAATATTCTAATGAGAACTGTGTCAAGTAAATCCCCAGTACAGATGTGGCGTGCCCAAGGTTCCAGCTCCTAGCCGGGCCTAATTCTTTTGTGTCTTGGCTTCCTGTCCAATTTCAATGTCTCACCTGAATCTCCATTGGATGAAGCTGCAAAGAACTCATCTCTGTAACCTCTTCTTCCCCTTCTATTTCGTCATCGCTGTTGTAAACAAATCGAGTAAGCTTCCTTGTAAACTTTAGCATTTTCTTCTCCCTCACATTCATCTTGCTCAGCCCTTCACCGAGTTCATCCACAAATGGTCCTATCTTTCCATCTTCTTCCTCTCCATTGTAATCTTCTTCTTCATCAACGTCATCTTCTTCATTGATGTCTTCGCCTTTGTAATCTTTTTTAATACTACTTGCGTTAGCCTGAAAAGACCAAACTGAAGAGTCGTTTTCATCGATTGATTTCTCTGGATAGTCATCACTCCCTTCTTGGTATGTCAATACAGATGAGATGAGCATTTTGAGGAATCTAATATTTCTAATTTTTCAGAGAAATCCAACAGTAATGATCGAGTGATTTCAGATTAAAAGAGTCTCTTCTTTTGTTCCAATCATGTCGGTGTCCGACAGAATGAATGTATTGAAGATAAAATTATCAATAAGACAGAAAGAATACATAACTAGAAAGATATAATTAAGACATGTCATGACTGAAATCAAGATCGATCGATCTAACCTGGGTAACATTAGATTGATCTACTGCTTCGGATAGAGTCGAAGAAGTCAAGAGCCCATTTGGATTCAGTGATTTTCAATACGGAAAATCAAAATTTGAGTAAAACGATACAGAAATTGAATAAAGTAAATAGAAATGATAGCGGTTGTTGTCATTGCAGTTACCCGCCTCTTCTTCCGCTCCCATTAACTTTAATTTTTGAGCTTCATACCACCTTCTCCTTCTCACCTAATTTCTCTCTTTCTGCATCGTATCATTCTTGTTCAGTTTGCTATTTGATTGATTATCTTTTATTAGAGGGAAAAATTAAAAGGGATAAAAAATTTGATGATTTGTTATGATTTTAGCGGATGACTGATAAAGAAAATTAAATAATATTTAAAAGGTATTTATATCTTTTCACGTGCCACTTAAATTGTCGCGCTTGAAAAGTTGAAACCACATCTCCGCCCCACAATGTTTATAAATGCTCCGGCACGTGTTATATTTAGGGGTATATTCGTCAATCTGCGCGTTCTCAGTTCTCACGTCCTTGATCCTTTTCCAGTCTTCCTTTGGGGAAATCTGTCGAGAGCCTGAAGAACTGATCAAATTTCCGAAGAGCTTTTTTTTTACTATCGTTCTGGCTGAGGAACGGAAAGAATCGAACTCGATGATCAGCGAGCGTAATATAAAGAGAAAAAGGGAGATGGCCGACCGTTTCTTCCCTAACGAAATGCCGGATTTCGTTGCCGAGACAACCGAGGAAACAGCACCCGAAGGCGTCGGAGATTCGCTCCGGAAGCTCCTTTCTCTTCCCTACCCAACTGTCGCGGAGAAATTCAAAAGAACGGCTTTGGATCTTAAGGAAACGGTACTTGCAGTCGAACAATAGGATCAAATGACTAATGGTGGTTCGAACCCCTACCCCAGGTGTTTGTTATGCTTTAATTGTGTTCTTTTCAACAGATTGTGACGAATACGTGGGGATTCAGTAGGCGACGCTTGAGTGACTTCACACTCTATACGGGTGCTCTGGGGACGGCTTTCTTGCTTTTCAAAGCTTATCAAGTCACTAAGAACAAAAATGATCTCAACCTTTGCTCTGAGATTGTCAAGGCTTGTGACTCTGCTTCCAGTGGTTCCAAGTACTCTCTCTCTCTCTCTCTCTCTCTCTCTCTCTCTCTGTTTTTGTCTCTGTAGTTTTGCTTTAATTGTTTTCATTTATATTGTCCGTGGATGGTAGGTACGTGACGTTTATATGTGGGCGAGCCGGTGTATGTGCTCTTGGCGCTGTCATTGCAAAACATGCCGGAGACGAACGGTTGCTTAGTTATTACTTAACCCAATTTAAAGAGGTAATAGTCTTCATATCTACTCTGTGATTTCATTCTTCAATCTTGATAACCAATTTCTTGCATTTGGTTCTCAACTTGTTGGCTTTTCACCAATTGGATTGTCTCTTTTCCATGTTCACCTGAATAGATTAAACTTCCTAACGACGTTCCGAATGAATTGTTGTACGGGAGAGCTGGGTTCTTGTGGGCATGTTCATTCTTAAACAAACACATTGGTGAAGGAACCATTCCTTCTACCCGAACAGTAAGACCTTCTCTCTCCCCTTTCATACATGGTGCTCCGGTTTGATCCTTGATTGAAAAGGAGCTTCATGTATTTGATACGAGAATTTGGGTAAACATTATATAGGGTCCAGTGGTGAACGAAATCATCAAGGATGGAAGACGATTATCCAACAAAGGTAGCTGCCCCTTGATGTTTGAATGGCATGGAAAGAAGTACTGGGGTGCAGCCCATGGATTGGCCGGGATTATGCATGTTTTGATGGGCATGGAATTGAAGCCGGATGAGCAGGAAGATGTCAAGGGTACCCTACGCTACATGATTAAGAATCGCTTTTCCAGTGGGAATTACCCCTCGAGCGAGGGCAGTGACAATGATCGCCTTGTGCATTGGTGTCATGGTGCTCCTGGTGTCACTCTAACCCTTGTCAAAGCTGCTGAGGTAAGCTTCTTTTGATAGTTATCAAGTATAGCTACTAGGTAATTGATCATACTTGCAGGGATGGGTTCAATGTTTGGTAAATGATGGATAGCTGACTGGTGGTTTTGTATAATTAGGAAAAGGAGAATATGCCTTGGTTGGGCACAAATGTTGAGATTCTCTATGATTGTGCTAGATACTGGAATTGCATATATTCGGCAATCTTATTCCACATTTTTCTTGGTGAAAATGGTTTGGATTGTCTGACAGGTGCAATGGGATTTTATGGTCAATCCAAGGAATGTTGACACTGATGAGTTTATAAGGGTATGTTTGGTACCATTGCCGTTTCCAGCTGAAACCCTGCCACAACAGTGCCACCTAGGCATTTTGAATTGCAATGGGAATTTTTTATTTGGTTGAGACTGTTTTAACTCAAAACAGTCAAAAAACGTTTTGTCTGAAAATAGCAACGAGGTGGCATTGGAGGAAACGTCAAATTGAGGTTTCCCCCACCAGCCATTGCATCTCACAATGTTTTAGCTGATATGGCACTTACCTGTCATCCGATGTGGCATGGTGATGAATTGATACGGTGCATCATGTATCATACAACACTTCAACGTGATTGGTGTTACATTGGAGAAAAATAAAATCTGATGAAATCTTGGATTTGGAAAATTCTTGTCACTTAGATTGGCATTACAGTAATTGGAAGTGTGATTGGTGTTACATAGAATTAAAAAGTTTACTTTAAACACTTCAATGTGAAACAGGACATACCAGACACATATCTACTAGAAATGCCTAGTCAGCATTGCTGATGAAACTGTAAACATAGTGTTAACCAAACAAGTTTCTCCTCTAACCATTGAAACTTGCACCACCCACACTACTCAAAATGTTTCAGCCTGAAATGACAGTGATACCAAACACAACTTAAATCTATGCTTTATAGCTTCTCCTAAAATTCAACTGGTCTTTCTTCAACCAAATTACTCAAATCTCAGTTGATTTCTCCTTTAAATTAACTGAATTTAGTTGTCAGTGACTTGGGGGGATATTATGTTTTAGATGCAGGAATTAACTAATGCTAGTTCTCTGAATCTGTTGGAGCTAGGTTCTCTGTTTTTACAACCGTTGTTTAGAATTGCCACTAAAGCATGTTAAATTGATCAGGTTTTTGGGGGTGACGAGTTTCTGAAAGCAGCTGAGGCGGCTGGAGAGGTGATCTGGAAGAGGGGGCTGCTTAAGAGAGTTGGGATTTGCCATGGCATCAGTGGGAATGCTTACACATTCCTTTCACTCTACCGACAGACTGGTAATGTGGAATATTTGTACAGGGCCAGGGCATTTGCGTGCTTTCTACTTGACAGGGCTAACAGGCTTATATCTGAAGGGAAGATGCATGGAGGTGATCGTCCCTACTCACTATTTGAAGGGATTGGAGGTATGGCTTATCTTTTCCTGGACATGATAGAGCCAGCTGAAGCCAGGTTCCCTGCCTATGAACTTTGAAACTCTATTCTAGGTGGAAAAGACACATGTATGAGAAGTTCTTTACATGAAAGTTCCACTTTGTAAATTTATTTGTATAGATACAGTGGTGTCTAGGTTGTAATAATGCCTAATGGTGCTTGTAATTTGGACCTAAATGTGTAATCCCATCTTTTGCTCACAAAGTAGAAAACCCTAGAGAGTTGAGCTTCTAAGCCTTGACTTGATGCGTGTTTGTGTTCTTCCAGAAAATGAAAGGAATACCATTTTCCTACAGTTAGCACCCGTGGAAAATGTTTGTCTTTCACGGAGTCAAAATGTAAAAAGGAAAAATTAAATGAGTTCATTTCAAACACGATAAGGAAGTTAGATAAATGATAAATCAACCATTCCACAGGGCTAAAGCGCTCAACAAACTAGTTAGGAGCAAATTCTGAAGATGCTGGCGTCACCACTGCAGTTTTATTGTTTCCAGTTTGCCGTGACTGTGTATGTTGGATTGTTGGTTTGTGAAAATTGGGAGGCAAATTCATGGGGAAATGAAATTCAACTTGAGCTATGAACTCTTCTCTTGTATCCATGATAAGTTTCAAGTCTTAGGCCTAGTACCACTGAATTTCGAATCCTTTTCATGGAGCATGATAATTAGAAATTTTAAACCAATAGATTTAGTGATGTTACACAGAATTCTTCGTCTTCTGAGTTTGATTTGATGCAGCATATAATCTTCTAGTTCTAGGAACAAATATGACCATTGAGGAATGTGGTGATGAGCTGGTTCACCTGGTCTGGAAATTGCTCCTGGATGAAATGGGTTCCTTCAGGAAAGAACTTAATTTCCAAATCAGGAACATGGTCCTTTACCTTTCCGCTCGTAATGTATTCTTCAAGCCCGGGGAATTTGAGAATGTAGTCCTTTCCACCCATGATCAGTAAAGTTGGAACCTCAACTTTTGGATCAGTTATCGTAATTTCCTTGTGCAATGACCTGAACCAAACCCAGAAGATAAGTTCCTTAAACTAGACAGGTAACAGAGCCAAGGCATTTCTGCAAGATGGTGCTAATAGAATTAATGCATTTCTATCAACCAGAGGGGGTTGTTGGAAAAATGGGGTCACGGAAATTTGCCGCCTTCACTCAGTTTTACTGAGTTTATTGTTGAACTGAGAGAGACAAGAGTGTTTATTTATTTTTATTTTTTTACGAAAACTTGTGTATAAATGCTCACACTCCTTAAATAATTTTTGAAGAGTCATGGAGCAGAGGAAAGGTAGTTAACAGTTAATGACCGTTAACCTTGAATAGTGCCTCTTTATCACACCTGATTGAATCGTGATTCTTGAAACATCAACGGTCAGCCTTGCACTAGAGGTCAAGGCTGCTCTTTGCGAGACATGCGCACAAAGAGCAAAGTGTGCCTCTAAAGCGCCTCATTGTGCCGCACACGCGCGCGTACACGTTGCGTTGTAGCAAGCTTCAATACTCTCCTCTTTATGTTTAAGGAGTGTAAATAAGCTTCTATTTAAAAACTCAAAACAAGTTTTGTAATTTTTCAGTGTGGGACAAGTTGAAAACTAGTTTTAGTAAAGAGAAAAAACTATTTTTCAAGACATGTATGCAGTTTTTTTTCTTTTCTCATATAATTAATCAGTCAAACCCCATTGAATTTAATTTCTAACGAGATTAAAATCCAACAAAGTACTTAATTACCTGTAAGGAACTTGCAATGGAGCACTGAACCCAGAATTCTCATATAAAGATGCGTAGGCTGCAAGATCTTCCTCTGTGAACCAGGGAGGTAGAGGGGTAGATGGTTCCACCAAGTCCATAATCTCCTTGCCGTCTTTTGCTATTGGCAATTCACTACCAGAGAAGAGAATGTAGATGTTCTGCAGCACCGTTTTAACATCGAAACGACTAAAGTCCGCTTCTGCTCTTCCTGGTTCCTACCATCAAGGAGATAGAAATCTGATAATAAGTAGAACCACTGTTGAACAAAATGGTAACAAATGATTTATTGTTCTCTTCCACATCATTCAACAAAATAGCAGCCAGCTTATATCTGATCTGTTTGCTTCTTTGCTTAGGAGGTCTCTTAGGCCCCGTTGTTTGCTGGTATTTAGCGGGAGTAAGTTGGGCATGATATCCGCATTCGCTTGCTGTTATATTGGGTTTCATGGTAATCGAGGACACTAGAGAGTATTGGTTACTTAAACTTCCTACATGCCAATAAGCATTCTCTCCCTCTCAGCACTCTCTTTATCTGGGTAACATGTAACATACAATAACTCTGAAATCTCACTTAATTGACAAGTTTTAACTGGGAAACACATAAACATATTTATCCCACAATTGTAGTTATCAATGTGATCCACAACAACCACTATTACAACGGAATGAGAGAATAGGAGAATGAAGAAGAGTACCTTCCACTTCAAGATGTAGAATCCTTCGGGGAAGTCATCGAATGGATTGGGCCTTGGGATGAAGAATGGCACGCCCAATGATACAACTCCGGACACCCTCTCCGGATGCAGTAAAGAAACCAAGTAAGCAGGCCAGGCTCCAAAATCTTTTCCGACCAGGAAAGCCTGTGCAACATCCATGGAAAAATTTAAGTGAGAATGGATGTTTTTATTCAAACTATGAAGTTGTTTAACCTGTTTTGAATTAAGACCTGTTAATATGTGGTATCTGACATGGTAAATTGGTTAATTAGATAATTGACCAACCTGCTATGCCACTATAATGGTTGCATGGTAAGCAGATTTTTCGGACAGTATTTTTTTTTTTGTATCAATACAACACATTAATAACTCTCTAAGCTAGGTGGTAATAGTGGGACTCGATTCAACGTATCCGCTAGGATTACCAGCTAATGTACCAACTGATGGTACCTGACTACCTGTTGGTACCTAAGAAACCAATACCCTCTTGGAGGGTGAATAAACCATTTACTAGGGCTGAGCATTCAATTTATTTGGTCTGCAAAACTTTTAAAAGCAAAGTAAAAAAATAAAAATGAGCTGAAACCGAATTATATAAAAACCAAAATAAAAAATTTCGGATCAGTTTTTGATTAAAACCGAATTTTAATAATGTATATACTATATTATATGTTATAACATATAATATATACTATATTAAAATATATATATTATGAAAGTAAATTTCAATATATTATATATTAATACATAAATAATATAATATATTATACATTATATGTTACATATATATACCAAAGTTCGATTAATTCGGTTAATCGAATTTCTAATTCTAAAAATTAAAACCGAAAATCGAATTATTCAAAATCCAAAACAAAGTTGAATTAAAAAAATCGAAATTAAAAATTTTGGTTCGGTTATTCGGTTTTAACTGAATTATTCTCACCCCTAATTTACAGATATGCTCTTCACAAAGCGCACCTCACACTGTGTTCACAGCATGTCCTGGGCGTCCTGGCCGCACATCGTGAACATCTCCCATACTTGTATTTATAATTTAGGGGGAAATGTTCCCAATAAAAAGTGGGACCGTGAGAATTCTGTGAGAAGCAGATCCCAATTCAATTTAAGCACCTTCGGAAAACCCGCCTATTGCGGGACCCGGGAGTAAATGTGTTAGCTGAGTACCGAAAAACCAACGAGGTCTACAAAAGAATGCTGAGATGAGAAAGCTGCAGTCGAGGGCACTGCAGGATGAAGTTTAGTTATTAATTACCTTGGGGATACCGAAGTAATCCAACATAGCAAGGATGTCGTCGGCGAAATCATCGAAGGATGCATTTTCCAGCTGAGGTGGGTGGTCAGATAGTCCGTAACCCCTTAAATCAGGTGCAATCGCCCGGTACCCAGCTTTTGCCACTGCGATCATCTGGTGCCGCCAGGAATACCATATCTCCGGAAATCCATGTAAGAAAACTACCACAGACGGGCCTGCATTTGTGCCATAAAACAAAACAAAGACAAATGGTATATAATTTAACATTTAACAAACAGAGAAGAGAAGAAAATGGGTGGAGAAATGACCTGCTCCGATCTCAGCGATATGGAGCTTCACTCCTCTTATGATAACATGGTTGTGCTGTATCTGATCCATTCAAGACGACACTCTTGCACACACAGCCACACAGAGCGATCTGGGGCTCGGACAGATACAGAAAGAGAGGGTCCTTGTATGAGAAGTGCGATGAATCGGTGCTGGGATCGCTTTATGCTGTGATATACATTTGCATCTCTCTCTTTTTCTGTGAAGCTTTAATAGGGTAGTGGCGTGTAGTGAGGAGATTTTGACTTTTTTTGGTTTTTGAAAAAAGAGGAGTGATGGATGTTAAACAGTAAAAGGCTTAAAGCGTCATTACAAAATTAGAGAGATTTTCAACCTTTTCCTTTTTTTTCTTCTGTTTAAAAGAAGCAAAAGTTTACTGATAGTTGCACAGCTGTGCATTTATGATTCCTCCTTGCGTTGTGGTCGGTTGTCCTAACTCCTACGTCAGGCAAATTGGCTTGGCTGCTTCAGAAATCTCTCACAAGTTCCTATGTGGAGTTCATCTAATTAATGACAAGGACCCTTCTAGTTTTTAATTAATTTTAGTTGTTCAAAAAAGAATCGACTCTTGGGAATGAGTGATCATCTCTGTCTGTTGATGATGAATACTTAAATAAAAAAACCTTGTTTGTTTGTTTCTTTAAAATTTATTTTATTCATACGGTAAGATAAAATATATGAGGCTAAATTATAGGGTAAAATATAAATATCTTGTTAGGTGATGGTTGAGTTGTTGAAAGATCCACGTGGTAATTTTCGTGGCTGCTCATCTTTTTTGGTCACATCGGCGCCACGTATAATAGAAGAGTACAACTAAGAAGTGTCCTGCGTGATAAAGAAGCGAATTCCTCGGGGAAGAGGAAACCTTCTGAAGACATCAGTGGATGCCCTCATCTCGACAATCCTGGAAGCTCTATCCATTTAAGACACAAACACTCAGCTATAAATAGGTACTCCCCGCTTGAGGTAAGAGACTTTTGGAACTTCACTCTTTGAATACCTCTTTGCACTATCTCTCTCGGACCAACGCTATTTCAACCTGCTTGGCCTGGCCACATCCTTCTTGATCCTAATGACTTGAGCATCGGTGTACTTACCCGATGAACAACTCCTCGGGTCTCTAACCTTTCGTGCACTAAAAGTAACCATGCCTAAGAACACATCCAACCACTTTGGAGCCCGTTCCCCATCTTGGGGATCCCGCTCACTCCACAACTCCTTGCCTTGAGAGCCCCAGCATCAGGCAACAGTCGGTCCTGCACTGTTCCAAGCCATGTAGCATAAGGTCGACTGTATCCTAACCATGATGGAGACGCTGGGGCAATTGGCACATGTAGGGGTGAGCATTCGGTTAAAAACCGAACCGAATAAACTGAAAATTTAAAAACCAAACTAAAAATTAAAACCGAACCAAAACCAAATTATAGAAAAACCGAAATAACCAAAACAAAAAATTTCAGTTCGATTTTCGGTTAAAACCAAATTTTAATAATTTATACTTTATTATATATATTATAACATATAATATATAATATATATATATATATTATGAAATCAATTTTATTATATTATATATTAATATACAAATATATAATATATTATATACTATATCTCACATATTACATATTATATATTACATATAATAATAGAAAGTTTAGTTAATTCGGTAACCGAATTTCTAATTCTAAAAATCGAAACTAAAATTTTTGGTTTAGTTTTTCGGTTTTAGCTGAATAGTGCTCACCCCTAGGCACACGCCCCCAAGCTACTTGCATCGAGGACCACGAAAGGCGCCACGTAGACAGGTATAGAGCTCAATTCAACCGCAAATGGTCACATTCATCTAGAAGGTCTGACTCCATAGCCTGGCCTTGTACGCACGACGCCCGTAGTAGATCTCATCACTCTGCTCAGGTACTAGTGAAAGAATGGCTCAGACCACATCTACAATAGCCGCCGATCTCAATAGCCGGATCCAGCTTGGTTTGAGATCAACTTGCGATCCCGAAAGGGGAAAAATCCGCAAACGTGGTCCCAACCGATAGAGACGCTGAAATTAGAGAACTAAGAGAGCGGTTGGCCAAACTGGAACACGATCAAGCGGATAAAAGCGTAGCTCTACTGACAGCTCAGCCATCAGAGTAGCACCACAGCCAACCCGCAAAGGAACCCATCTTCGTCCAGGAGATCATTGGCAAGCTTCCTTCGGTTGGCTGGTGACCCCTACAGTTTGAGAAGTATAATGGAGCCTCGGACCCCAATGATCACATTGAGGGGTTCAAGGCGATAATGATGCTACATGACTCCTCCAAGGGTCTCATGTGCAAGGCCTTCGTCGCCATCCTCATGGAGTTGCTAGAACCTGGTATGCCTTCCTTTTGCTGTAGTCCATATCCTTCTAGGAGTAGTTGGAGACACAATTCCTGGCGTAGTTCGCTACCAGCCAAAGGCACTAGAAGATGCCAACCAACCTAATGCAAGTGTGACAGAGGAAAGAAGAGACATTGAGGCAATACTTGGCAAGGTTCAATGCTGAGACCCTTTAGGTCCAAACTCTAGACCAGTCAATAGCCATGACAACCATCATGAGCAGGTTGAGGACCCTGCTGTCGCTGTACATAAACTTTACTCCCTTGAATGCATTGTGAGCCAAAATGCTGATGCAGATCCGAGGCCGTAGCTTCATTAGGTGGCCCGTAAAGATGAAGTCCTAGAACAACAAAAGGAATCAAGACAAGTACTGTAATTTCCATCGAAACCATGGCTATGAGACTTAGAACTGTCGCGATCTACGCCACCAATTGGAGTACCTTGTCCGACGTGGGTACCTTGGTGGGTTCGTAGACATCAAGGAGCACAAGCCAAAGGGGGAGAAGAGCACCGCACTAATGCACCACCAGCCCGAGCTCCCCCAGCTGGAGTCATTGCTGTCATCTCAGGTGGGATGGCCTCTGGAGGAGAGAGCAGCTCAGCTTGTAAGGCCTATGCTAGACTGCATTAGGTCGAAGACAGGGAACCAAAGAGATAGAGGCAGGATGCTCCCATCACATTCATTGACGACAATCTTAGGGGAGTTTAGACACCGCATGACAACGCCCTCATGATAACTATCGAGACCGCTAACTTTGAGGTGCGACGCATACTGGTGAACACAGGGAGCTCGATCGACATCCTCTTTGAAGAAGCCTTCGAACAAATCAACATCAGGAAGGACCATCTGACGCCAATCAACACCCCCGGGTGGGATTCTCTAAGGACTCACCGATACCCGAGGGGAAAATTGCTCTACTGCTACTAATAGGTGATGACCTCATCATCACCACAACGATGACATACTTCATCGTCGTCCGCATCTTGTCTCCCTACAATGCCATTCTCAGTTGACCTACGCTGAATGCTCTACGAGCCTCAGTCTTCATGTACCACTTGGCCGTGAAGTTCCCAACCCCGTATGGAGTGGGCGTAGCACAAGGAAACTTGAGAATTGCGAGGTAGTGTTACTTGATGGCCTGTAGAGGGAGACTACACGCCATTGAAGTGCTCACCATAGAAAGCATGGATCTGGGAGACCAGTTGTGAACACATTGTGGCCAGCCCGTGGAAGACCTCGTCTAGTTGCCCCTCTTCGACGATAACCCCGAAAAGATGGTCCAAGTAGGATCTCTCTTAGAAGGCCGCCTCCGAGACGACATTGTGCAACTCCTCAGAGACAACGTCGATGTGTTCGCCTTGTCAGCAACAAACATGTAGGGATTGACACTGAGGTCATCATCCACTGCTTGAATGCCGACCCGCACTACCGACCCGTGAAGAAAAAGAAGAGGGGCTTTGCATTGAAATAATGGCAAGTGATTAATGAAGAAGTGCAAAAACTGCTCGACATTAGCTTCATCCAAGAAGTGACATACCTAGATTGGCTGGCGAATGTGATGATGGTAAAAAAGGCCAATGAAAAGTGGAGGATTTGCATAGACTTCACTGACCTGAACAAAGCTTGCCCGAAAGACAGTTTCCTCCCACCGAGGATTGACCAGCTCGTTGACGCAACGATAGGGCATGAGCTCTTGAGTTTCATGGATGCCTTCTCCAGTTATAATCAGATCTAGATACACCCGGATGACTAGGAGAAGACCACCTTCATCAATGATCGAGGACTGCACTGTTACAAGGTGATGCCCTTCTGCATGAAGAACAGTGACACCACTTACCAGATGTTGATGAATCACATCTTCAAGGAACATCTCAGACGAAATGCGGAAGCCTATGTGGATGACATGCTGATGAAGAGCAAGAAAGCCGATCAACACCTAGACGATCTAAAGGAAGTCTTCGACACCCTCAGCAAATATCAGATGAAGCTGAACCCGATGAAGTGTGCCTTCGGCATTGGCTTTGGCAAGTTCCTTGGCTTTATGGTCACATAGAGGGAAACTAAGGCATTTCCAAAAAAAGATCAAATCCATCCTAAACATGCAGTCACCGTAGACATACAAAGAAGTGCAACGCCTCACTAGACAGGTAGCCACATTGAGAAAATTCATGTCAAAATCCACGGACCAGTGCTTGCCATTCTTCAAAGCACTAAAAATGGTGAAGGACTTCCAATGGACCGAGGAGTGTGAATGGTCCTTCCAAGAATTGAAGTGCTACTTGAGCTCACCACTCCTGCTTATGGAACCTAGTCCGGGAGATCAACTCCTTCTCTACCTATCTGCTAGTGACGAAGTGGTTAGTTCGGTCCTAGTAAAGGAGGAAGGTCAAACCCAAAGGCCGATTTACTACATTAGCAAGGTCTGTATGAGCACAGAGACATGATACTCGAACCTAGATAAGGTCACCTTGGCCCTCGTCACCTCGACGAGGAAGCTCAGGCCATACTTTCAAGAACATAACGTTTGAGTACTCACCGACCAGCCACTCAAGTAGGTCCTGCACAGGCTAGAGACATTTGGACGCCTGATCAAATGGAGCGTAGAACTAGGCGATTTCAACAATGACTACACACCTCAGCCTGCCATCAAATCCCAAACCCTAGCTGACTTCCTGGTCGAATGCACATTCTTAGCAAAGAATCCAGCCAAGGTCCGACCAACCTGAACTCTCTATGTATATGGGTCATCCAACCAACAAGGCAGCGGCATCGAGTTCATCCTCGACTCAGACGACACCACCCTAAAGCACGCCTTAAGGTTAAAGTTCAAGGTGTCCAACAATAAGGTAGAGTA